CTTTTCAAGTCTGCTGTTTACATTCTAACTCCATATCTGAATCCAGAGACCATTCAATCCGTTTTCTCCAAAAGGTTCTTGTCAAGGGACAGATTTAAACTTATATAGAGTTCCCTGCATATATCTGACCCTACGCACTGCATCGAAAAAATCAAGGAATAATTTACTGAAAAGTCTAATGGCAATTGAGAGCAGTACATGATCTAAGTACTTCATCATAGATGGTTATGAAGTGGTCTGGGACATGTGGGTTGAGATGTACAAGTGGGATAAGGAGACTAATTCAGCGAGGAATTTGAACTCACACATGAACATTTATTTCCCAATGATGGACAGGAGATGAGGAACCACTAGGCTTTGCCTCGTCTAGTATTTTTTCCCTCAGATAGATATTCTGGCATATCCACCTCATGGTCATCCAGTATTTGTTTAATACCATGATATAGGCTTTTAGGCTGTAACAGCTTTATCCAGATAAATTGACATGTGTATTTATTGGAATTTTTATCATATTGTTAATATTCCATTTTTATTCCAGATATAATATGTATAACTGTAGTCGCTATTCGACTTGGAAATACTTCAATTATAAGAGGCATGAAGCAAGTAAGGCATCTTGAGCCTAGCTGAGGTAAGCTTGATGTAAACCCTATCAGTTATTTGTCATTAGTCTTCATCCGAATCCAGGACTAATTCTTGAACTACTAATTTATTTAATAAGTTTGTAAACAGTAATGTGATTTGCTGACTTAAAGGTGCAACAATAAGTGCATTCAACATTCATCGACCAGTGTCAAAAAAATATATTTAAGTTTGGATACTTCATCAAAACTAATATATTATTTATAAAAGAAACCCCCTTGATGAAGTTTATTTCAGCTGATATTCTTCTTGAAAAGTGATGGATCTTAAAAATCTATAAGTGGGACTACCTTTATAGAAGCTTTAAACTGAATTAACACTTCTTAATGCTGAAATTGATAGCTTTTGATTGATCCATACATTTTAAGAAAATAGGTATGTCAAAGAAGATGCTGAGCCAAATGTTGCCCTGATAGCTCTCAATTGTTTTACTTGTATGAAAGCAACCAGATTGCGCAAAATATAAATGCTTTTGTATAGATCACTATCCCTATCATACATATGAATATGAGCTTCGCCTTGATGTCATGTTGTGATCAAATAAAAGTAGTAAAATCTCATTTGATGATAAACCAATATTGTATTATATTACTGTAACAAATAATTAAAAGTGTTCATCCCCTAAAATCTATGTTTTAGCCACAAGTGGAAGAGTTTGATGACAGTCATTTCATTTCTGATGAGGATTCCAATGATAATGTTGATGACTCCAGTGATGATGATGATCATGATGATGAGTATTATGAAAATGATGTGCCTATGGATTTACTTGAAGGTAAAGGATTAAATAGATAAAAAGCCTTAGTGATAAGAAGGTATGGTTTTTTGTTCTTCTTTCAAATCTTATGACTCATATATGTATAGTATACATTGAGAATTGCTACTCCGTGGAGTTGCAGTTTTCTAGTTATATAAGTATGAATGCCAAAGGAAAATATCCAAGGACTTAAAAGGCACCTAGATGGAGGAAGTGTTTTCAACTAACAGTGTTGAGATTTGGCTACGACAAGCATATGTTTATGAACTGCCATCATATATGAGGTACCCATGACTCTTACCCGTTACAATGAGAAAATAAAGGAGAAGCCTGTCTGTGAGTGTCATACTGCTGTTTTTTCTTCAAATTTTTCCATTCAGTTCAAAGTTCAAAGTGAAACGAAAATGTCTTTCTGTCGGCGCATTGCTTCATTGTACAGAGTTTCTAATATAAGGGGCATATGAATCCCCAGCTGTGAGAAGATATCTTTACAGCTTGTGAAGAATAAAAAGCCACATAAAGGTGAGACATACACGACTTTGAACACATATGGGACTTTTTCTGCATTATTCTGGACAATTACTGCATTGGTCGATGGTTTTTGAGCTCAAAATAGTATATTTGGTATATTATATGATAGATGCAGCTGTTGAAAGCAAAGAACACTTGTATGAGGATGAGGATGATGACACCCCTGATGAACCACTTCCCAAAAGGCGAAAATGTGAGTTAATTGAACCACCTAAATTCCTTCAATCTTCAATAATATTTCGTAAAACGGATAATCTTTCATAACTTGAATACTATAAAATGGATTTGGTTCAAATTTTATATGCCGATTCTTGAATTCTAAGGGAAAAATAGCTCTCCTCTAAAAAGTTTAAAATGCCATTCAGGATTTAATACTTCGTTGAGTTGCTGTTTTTTCTAGTTTGCTGTGCCATGACACTACTTAGCTAGCAGTTATTATAATATATGAACAATTAAAAATTGGTGCAGTTTGCATCAATTGTGTTGTATAGCTATGTAATACTCATAGCCCCTTTCTGTTTCACCTTAGGGCTGAGAAGGTTTGAGATGTCATGGTTTATCATAATGGATATAATACGCAATAACTAAAAATAGAGGTGTGTATATTTTTTCTTCTTATGCTTAAAGTTTCTTGTAAATTGAAACTCTGACTTGAAATGACTCAGCACTTTTGAGCCTGATTCAGAACCTGTCACATATCAATTTTTCATGTCTAGAGGTTTTTTGGTCAATTCCAGGCTGGCTTAATCTAGTCAATCAAATACATTTCATGTCTTAATACTCCATACATGATATAACTCTAATCTTAAGTGCTACTTGACTTAAATTGCCAATTACGTTGAAAATTTATATTTTGGAAAATGGGGTAGGGGTAGCTTAGTATTAGCCAATATAACATGAGTTAAAAGAAGCATTGTAACTACTTCATCCATCAATTCAATGATTATAATCCATTTGAAGTTTAAATTAATAATCCTGCTTGATAACACACATTTTTTTATAAAAAATATAATTGAAAGCCCATGATTTGAACAATGAAAAATGGGGTATGGGCACTTTATTAAGACAATAATATTGACCTTACATCCTTCCATTTTGGCCAATAGGGTTTATTGTGCCAGAAATGTCATCCTTATTCTCCATATATCATATGTGGCAGATTTAGATATAATATGATAATCATTGCTACATCTAAACAATATCATGTTTGCAACTTAAAATCATGAAAAAGTTCAAAAATACTCCAAAGTAGCGAAAAAATGGGAAAAGTAAAAAGCACGTAAAATCTTGAATTCTCAAAATCCCAGTTATTTTATTGCAGATTATTAAGGCCCTAATGCTCCTCTTTCCAACAGTAATACTCACTGTACATGGGACATCTGGGTTTTCTGGCAAATTGGATCCAAAGATGGTTGCCATTTCGTCTCTATATTGACACTCATGTTTACAACTAAAATCACGAAAACCTTGAAGAAATGGCCGAAAACATCGAAAAAAAAGTTAAAAGTAAAATGCTTGTAAAATCTTGAAAACCCAAAATCCCAGTTATTTTATTGCAGATTATGAAAGCTCTAATGCTCCTCTTTCCAACAGCTGGCTTATTAAACAAACTGGGTCCAAAGATGGCTGCCATTTCGTCTCTTAATTGACCCATGTTCCAGAAAAGGCTCCGTAACCATGGCAACCAATGTGACGTCACAATAAACAATACATATGAACTCTTCAACATGTCCCATATAAAAATCAAATGGTTATTAACTGGTTTTGGATTATCTTCTTGGCATATCATAAGCTGGAAATATGTCTTTTTTCACTGATTTTGGTGCATTTTCTAGGTTGTAAAAAGACAACAAACATGGGTTGCTTAGCAACGGTGTCACACACTAACAACAGCAAGGGTCTCTCCCTCTTTGCGGCGTGACAGCTTTAAATAATGCTATAGGGCACTCTATTGTGACTCCTATCCAAATGGCTTGTACAGCAGATGAGCTGTGGCTATGACAGTTCATAGAAATGGATACCTTCATTTCGTCGTATCAACCAATGCGTGAGAAAGAAGGTGACTTTAAATCATAGATCATAGACTCAATAGGACCCCTGAGGCATTGGCCTTATGGAATGAGAGATTTTGGAATTCAGGTATTTGGTAAGTATATTAATGTAAACAAATGGGTCAAAAATGTAAACAAATGGGTCACAAATATAAAACAATAATTTTCCTCCCTGGATAAATAATTTACTGCCAAGTTCCATCATGTACGATAAAAAATATTTCAAGTTTCCCTTATAAAAAAATTCAACCTTGAAAGTCCGAATTTAAACCGTTTCCATCAATCATTGAATACTGATTGTTTCAACTACTAAGATCAAAGGAAAAACCATTGTACGATGATAAGCAATCATTGTGCAACCATTGTGTTCAACCAAGCAAAGTCAACTCTTTTTCAACGACTGCGCAACGGTTTCTATACAATCATAGTAATCTGCAACCATTGTAAACTGCAACCATTTCACATTGAAATTTAAATGTTTTGTTCAATGATTACATAGTTCAACCCCTGCAACGATCCTGAATTAGTATCGTTCCAAAAAATTATCATTTTACCTGAATTAAAATTATCTTTAAGTAAGGATTTGGATCAACCTCTATTCAAAACAGTATATTAGGATATTTTTTGTAATTCAATTATGAAAAGAATTGAGCAAATTCCAATTTGGTTAAGAAATTGACCAAGGAAAATCTTAAGATTTGTTTTAAACTTAACAAAATCACAAAATGAGACACAATGGTTTTTGTTCATGATCAGACTGATAATCAAAAGAAGCAGGATATGATGTACAAAATAATACAAACATGTGTAATATTATCTTCTGTAACCTTCTTTTCATTTGAGATTTTGGCTTGAAAAAATGATTTTTAGAAATCGAACTAATATGACAATGATGATCTTATGAAGAGGCCAATGAAACCAGAGCCCACTGCTGAGGTAGAAAAACATCTTAAGCCAAGTGATTACACAACACCACAGCAAGATGATCAAACATGCAACATTAGATAGGTGGTAGTCATGTTATATCAGTGAAAGTTTATTTATAAGTATTTACTGCTGTTTGTTGTGTTTTTCCTCATTTATGACTTGATCCATGAGAGGTTTTCAACATCCGGGCAATTTCAAAATGGCACAAACTTTATGGATTTATACACCTCTATCAGAACGCAAGTCGCTAAATAAAATATCTCTTATTGTTTAATAATTGTGATTAATGTGATCAAGTATGACCTAAATTATATTCTTTTTACCCCAATGCAGGGAGAAAGAATGCATAATATGTTTTTGGAAGAGTATAAATGGTAGAAGAAGATCAAGGACTGCATGATTTCATCATCTCAACATGACAAAGATTACTCTATACGCTCATCCGAGAATTGTGAACCTGAAGAAGAGTGGCAAAAACAACACACAGATCAAGAGGATCCTGAAGGAGGACGACAATATTGTGGTAACATGTGAAGGCATCAGCAGATTTCTGAAATGTTTTTCGCGCAACGGGGAGAGTAGAAGATGACCCGAGACGTAGCAAGGGGTCCAAGTTCACGCTTGAACACATGGACTTCCTCGATAAGCAAATGGAGATGGACATTGAGATGATGTCAGTGACGCTAGCAGCAAAGATGAGTGTGCGTTTCAACTTGGAGTTCTCTACGTCAAGCGTGAAGCGAATGAGAGGCAAGCTAGGCTGGAGGTGTGTGGGGACCAGGTACTGCCAGATGGCCCATGAAGCAAATAAACCAAAGAGATTGGCCTTTGCACTAAAGATACATACGTTTTACAAAGGGCGAGGGGTCTCACTGCATGTGCATTACTCCAAATACAGAAGGAAATCAATTCAACTGATGAAAATGTTCTGGAAACTTTTATTGAGAATGGACCAAGAAAGCTGGACTTAGTTCCATAACAGTGTTCACACTTTATTACCTCAGACATACCTGTCTACGGGTTAATTTCAATAGAATGACATTCCCTAGGCTGTGAGAAATTCCTTTTGGATATGAGGCTTTTTGGCCACATGCTCTCCGCTGAAAGGCAGCCAGTATTTATGTTTGAATTCTAAAAGGAACTGCTTTTTGGACTATCATCATTCAATCATTCAATAAAGGTATCTTGTTGGCTTGTTAAGATATAAACACTTTCACTTTCTTGAGGCTTTTATCATCATGAGATTAGAGTCTAAAAGGTTGGAGAAGAGTACTCAAACACAAAATAATGCACTCGCCATGCTGCCCAGATTGTAATGAGCATGGGTTAGTACTTATTTTATCCAGGAATGAACTAATGGTATAGACCTATTTGTTTTATAGGATACAACCATTTATCTTATATCCATAGTAACAATTAACATTTGGAAATGTTTGATATAGTCAAAATCAATCATTCAAAAAATGATGCATTCATATGAGCACACTAGCACAGATTATTTCGTGCAAGGGAGAAACACTTGCTACATTTAATGATATGTATTTACAATTTTTACCTCACACCCAATTCATGATACAGACTTTATATTCTACAACCACACCCCAACACTTTTATGGTTGCACTCCTATCCATGCTATAGTCTTCTCTCTCCCATGCTCAACAAACATTGCTCTCAAATATGCAAGGTCAAAAACGATACGTTGCCAGTACTGCATGACTTGTATGCCCCTGAAATAAACGGGCCAACCCTTGATGAGTGCAATGCTATGTGTGGAGAATGGGATGATTTGCACTTTTCACTCGGTGCAGTAGATGGCATCTCTCATTAAAGATCCACCTAAATACTTACACTGAAAAGTTGAGATCAATTTAGAACAATGTTATTAATAATTATATTGGCAGAATACATGTCACAATAAACATATAGTACTGATGGCGCCATTTCACTTTGTTAAGTGAGCGGATCTCCATATTGTGGCAGAATTGTTTGAAATAATAACCAAAGATTCAGAGAAAACAAAGCATTTTAGAGATCTGCTGATGAAACATTTTCCTATAAAGAAATAAAAACTGTTAAGTTTAAGTGTTAAGTGAGCTGATCTCCATATTTTGGCAGAATTGTTTGATATAATAACCAAAGATTCAGTGAAAACAAAGCATTTTAGATATCTCTGCTGTTGAAATATTTTCCAATAAAGAAATACTATACAAACTGTATGTAAAGAATGTGTCATACAAGAGTTAAATCATATAAGTTGACAAGATGTCCATCGACTGGAGTATCAATGCCAATTGAGGATTCATAGAATGACAATTTGAAAATAATTAAAAATACATTATTTAGATTAATAAATTATGGTTAATATTTCTGACAACATATTTACGATATACATGGAACACAACAAGTGCATAAAAATTGGGGACAAGTAGACAGAAAAGTATGTATTGGAGCAAATTTAATTTCCTATTTGGTGTATATTAATTACCACATATTGCTTAAAAGTTAATTTTAAAACAACCTAAAAATATATTATTTTGCTTATTAATCATATTAATATATCAGTATTATGTGAGTATATATTTTCATTTGAATGAATTTTAACAAAAGTGTATCTAAGAATTAATGTAAAAGTTAAACAGTACAACCCTAATCTAATCATCATCATCATCGGGTAATAACAAACAGTATAGGTCACGCCGAGGGTCTCATTTTAGTGCATCACAGCACACTATCTTGGTACATCTATTGTTGCATTGGCGCAACCAATTCAATGTCATTTGTGAAATGTTGGAGATCAATGCATCAGACTACATTGACAAGATTAACCATAGTCATGGGAAACCTAGATTTGATTAAAATCAGATCTCTCTGATTCGTCAATTATTATTCGTTATTATTATTCGAGGATGATAGGATAATCAGAAGAAACAAAGAGATAATGCTCGCTATCTTGGATGCTGTCATATTCTTTGGGTCCCAAAACATGGCCTTCCGAGGCAAAGAAGATTTGTCTAATTTTATGTCCCTAGTCAAATACGCCGCCTCAAAAAGTCAAGTTCTTCAAGATCATTTAAATAGCGCACCGAAATATGCAACCTACCTCTCCCCTGAACTACAAAACAAACTGATTAGTTTGTGTGGTGATCAGATCCGAAAAAATAAAAGAAAAAATAAATGAAGCCGAGTTCTTCAGTATATTGGCTGATGAGGCTACCGACAGTGCAGTATACGAGAAGCTGGCTTTATGCATCAGGTATATCAAAACATTTCCTGATAAGCCATCCATCTTGAAAGAGGAACTGCTCGAATTTATAAAATACTCTGATGGTAAAGCGGAAACGATTACAGATGCGATACTAGAAGGTACAAATGGCCTAAATATGTCAAAACTTGGAGCCCAGGGCTATGATGGAGCCAGTGTCATGGCAGGGATTCACAATGGGGTACAGGCACGAATTACGGGATCATACGAACAAGCTGTGTACATTCACTGCCAGGCACATGTATTGAATCTGTGTATTGCCTCATCATGCAAGGAAATCTCTCTGGTTCGCAACCTTATCGACATGGTCCAACAAATTCCATTCGCCTTCAAATATAGTGCTAAAAGAATTTTCAGACTTCAAGACAAAATTAGAGCACATGGTAACCCTGCAGCTGGACGAAAATCAAGGCTCTAAACAAGCTAAAATAGCTTCAGAATGTTTGACATTATGTCGGTCCAGGGGTACCTATTAGAGGTGTAACTCGAGTTCAACTTGCAAAATATTTCCAAAACTCGTGTTCATTCATTTCGTCCAGTACATATTGTAAACGGTCAAGCGGCAAGTTTCTCTGGTTTAGTCTCATCTAAAAGGTGTTTAACACGTTGGGGCCATAAGAAAGTGGGGTATTCATTGCAGTTATCTCATATTTCAATAAAAAACGATCTGGTATAGATGTCACCACATACGGTAAGGACAAGAGATCGCTAGAATCTAACCAAACAATATTTTAGAAAACCCAGAAATGGAGAAATAAACATGCAATCTGTCTATTCCTGCAATGTGGCTTTGGCAGGGTGTTTCAGTCTGAACCACATACATGTATGTATGACATTTAAGTATGTTTGTATAACATCAGTGACAATGTATATCATCAAAGGCACTAAAGGGGGAGAGAGAAAGAAGACTGGAAAGGGGCAGATTCCTTGGTCACCATGCCAACAACCAACACAATTAAAAAGGGCTTTGTATAAAAAACCTCCTACCCACGTACCCTCGTACCCACGTACGTGGGTCCTGACCCAGTCTTTAAAGAGTTAAATCTTTAACATTTTTTAAACATTATTCTATCTCAATGTATGCTTTATTATGGATGAATTTATGTACCCATATGCCTTTATTTCTAGATCGGACATCTGTCTCGTCATAAAATAAAGCCGGCATTGCATAATGTTCATTTGAGCTATTTGAGTGTTGTTTTTGATATATCGAAGCGATTTTTTGTTGATCGGGCAGTCTTACAGTGTACAACCAATCTATTGCTTGGCGCAAATTCGACCAAGCGCATATATTTAGTATTTTTGTCAGTCATACTTTTAATAGTCCTATACCTTTTAATTTACCATAATGTATATAGAATCAACAATCCACTTTTAGACCATTTGCTTTAAAGTGTCTCACATATCCGATCAAAATTTGCCATGCAAACATGTTAGTCTACTTTACTGGCCCCCCTTGCTGTAACAAGGAACACAAAACACATTAAAACGTAAACATAAACCAATTAGTCACTTCACTATGAAAGTCATTTACTGTGTCAACTTAGTAACCCTTGCATATCGTGCTCACTCAAGTATTGAATATTTTTTATGATCTAAATGATTGTGGTTTATCAAAAAGTGATATATTTTAGTTACAAATACATTAATAAATATATTCATTCAAATAGCACTAGAATGCGGGAAGAAAGAGCAATGATGACAAAATGCAGACAGAATTTTCCGTAAGGGTTTCAAACATTTCTGGACACAATCATAAATGTACTTCATGTGTACTGTTATTTTTAGTGCTGCATTTATAGATATAATTTCACGTATTAAAATCATATTTTCCAGCAACGACTTCAAATTCGGAACCACACCCTTATCACATTTTCTTCAATAACTCCAAACATGTGTAAACATTGACCATGTGCATATAAATTCAGATTTCACGAGCTCTTTCCTACTCGAGTACCTCATACACCCCTGCATGGATTTGAGTTGGATTCGCCCTTTATACGTGAGCCGATACACATCGCAAACGCTGATTGGATAAAGATTGCGAGAGTCTTTAAAACCTTTGTCGTTAGGATTCCCGTTTTAAGTTATTTTTATTCAACATCAATACCAAAAACACCCCTATGACTCCTGGTTCAAAAGCTTGCCTATTTTCAAAATGGCCACCATTTTTGTCTCGCCAAATTCAATTTTGGACCATTTGTTTTAAAACCTCTGTCGATAGGATTCCCGTTTTAAGTTATTTTTGTTCAACATAATATAAAAAAACGCCCTCTGACTTCTGATTCAAAAGCTTGCCTATTTTCAAAATGGCCACCATTTTGTCTCACAAAATTCACCTTTGGACCATTTGCTAGCTTTATAAATAATTTCAGGTGTCCTGCGTTGTAAAAAGTAGTTGTATGAAATGATTTTGTTACAAAAAATCTGCAAAAAATTATGTCCGTTTTTTATTTTATTTTATGCCATTTTCGCCATCATTCACTTTTGAGCAACACCATGTGGGCCCAGTTCCCACGGTACTATTTATTCTTGATTTGGATATCGTGTCTCTTAAAATTAACGTAG